AGGGGGGTTCAGCCTGGAGTGGCGGTAGCCGAGCACTGCTTGCTCTGGTCTGACATCTTTTCAGTATCCTATATATGCAAATACAAAGGCATTTGTTTTTTAAAAGTATTTTTTTCTTTAAAACTTCATACACTGCGCATACGGGATGCTATACAAATCCTAGTAGTATTTCTGAAAATATTTCTGGGTATCTTCAGTATATGTAGTCAAAAATTACTTGGTGTTTGTTTTCCCTTCTAAGTTTATAAAACATGTAGCCTTTTCAGGATTCAGAACTTAACGATTCTAAGTCAGTGGATCACCAGTCTTTACTGAGCTGATTGTGCTATGATTTCAATGTTTCACAATCAACTGTAAAATCATTAAATTGAATATAACATTAAAGAATATTCATGAAGTAGTTCTAGTAAAGAAACTTAAGAAAAAAAAAAGACTATGGTATTTTTAAATCAGATGTTAGATCATTTATTTTTCCTTTTATCTAAAGAAAATCCAATGGATGGAACCTTTCCTGTTAGAAAATTTACTCTTGCGTGTGTTCCATTTTTTCTTTTGAAAATGGCAGGTTTTATGATAACGAGTCATCTCATAGTAAGTGCTAGTTCAGTTCAAAACTGCAATGGCCTATGGTACAACTACAGTCAAGTAAACTAATTACTCATGTACAATATTATTTAGCTTCAAAAATTTTTACTGAAGTCTTTTGTGAACCCAATCTTCAGGGAAGAATGGAAGAAACCAGATTCCTGTGTATTGTGCAGACAGATTTGGAATAATCGTAACACTTTAGTTCTGAAACAACCTGAGTGGAAACAGTTTCCTGCTTGGGAGAAAGCAAAATGAAGGTAGGATATGTAACAGAACATGTCAGGATCATAGAAAGTTGGTCACCACTTTCTGATTTCTTTTACAATTTGCATCCACTGGATGCCACCAAAAGCTACAAATTAAAATGGTCCTTGCTTAGAGAGTATAGAACAGTAGGTAGAACTTTAAAGGTTTATTTGAAAAATCAAACAAGTGAACAGGATTCTGATTTTTTTGTTGTTGTTGAAATTTTCAGACTTCAGTTTTCTTAATATTCTTCTCCTTCCTCAGCCTCTGCTTCCACTGAATCTACACCAACTTCTTCATAATCCTTTTCAAGGGCAGCCAGATCTTCTCGAGCCTCAGAAAATTCTCCTTCCTCCATTCCTTCTCCAACATACCAGTGTACAAAGGCACGCTTAGCATACATGAGATCAAATTTATGATCAAGACGAGCCCATGCTTCAGCAATAGCAGTTGTATTACTCAGCATACACACAGCTCGCTGCACCTTTGCAAGGTCACCACCTGGCACCACAGTTGGAGGCTGATAGTTAATTCCCACCTTCAAGAAAAGAAAATAAAATCCTTTGTAGTGAATGCTGATTCTTTAGAACTTACTCCTGTCATCAATGAAAAAAACCACCATGGTTATGAACAAATAAACCAGCTTACCATTACTTTTCATCAAAACCATTAACAAAATCCTAATTACAGGATCAAGTCAAATGGGGCTAGCATTAAGTGAGACAGGTTGATCTATAGATTTTTTTTCCCTTATGGATTATGAGGTGTAAACCACAAAAATGAACGTGGAAGGACCATGAAGAAACTATTGAAAGCGAGAGCTTACTAGAATCTAATTAGAACATAAAGGTCCAGTCTTTCCAAGTCCTGAACGTGTGCATAATAGCTGGACAAAATCCTTGATGGAGAATCTGATACTGATATGGTAAAAAGTTTACATTTGGGAGTTAAAAAAACAAAACCCACCAGGTTTGTCCCAGCAGTAGAAGTGGGACCTACTAAACTTAAGTCACTGGAATACAGATCTAGCAGTTAACATCATCTGCCATTTTAAGATATCTTTAAATGTTTTGGGAAGTTACTGCATTGAAGTACTACTCGGATCACTGAAAACACTATTTGTTGAGGATCATTTATACTTCCTCTATACATAATTCAGTTTTTTTAACACTTGGAATGAACAAAAATATGCTGTAATTTTTCAATAATCATCTGTTAACTGTTTTAAGATCCTCAGTACTGCCTATTCATATAATTGCTAGGTTTATGTTTATTAACCTGATAAGGAATTTTCATTCATGTTGCAGTATCTTACATTTTTTGTTTAAAAATCTGAGATATAAACAGCTCAGTAGCAAGGACATTATGACACTGTAGAATCACTATTACCTACAAATACTATGTAATTCCTAATACTTCAAACATTAGGTAATTTCTAAGTTATGCAAGTACCTTGAATCCAGTTGGGCACCAATCCACAAACTGAATGGTTCGCTTAGTCTTGATAGTAGCAATAGCTGCATTAACATCTTTGGGAACAACATCACCTCTATATAGCATACAGCAGGCCATATACTTGCCATGACGAGGGTCACATTTTACCATCTGGTTGGCTGGTTCAAAACAAGCATTTGTAATTTCAGCCACTGATAACTGCTCATGGTATGCTTTTTCAGCAGAGATGACAGGGGCGTATGTTGCAAGGGGAAAATGAATTCGTGGATATGGAACAAGGTTAGTCTGAAACTCTGTCAGATCTACATTGAGGGCTCCATCAAAACGCAGGGAGGCTGTGATGGAGGAGACAATTTGCCCAATTAGTCGATTTAAATTGGTGTAAGTAGGCCGCTCAATGTCAAGATTGCGACGACATATATCATAAATAGCTTCATTATCTACCATGAAAGCACAGTCTGAATGCTCCAATGTTGTGTGAGTAGTTAGAATTGAGTTGTAAGGTTCCACTACAGCAGTGGAAACCTGTGGCGCTGGATAAATCGCAAACTCTAGTTTAGATTTTTTGCCATAGTCAACAGAGAGCCTTTCCATGAGGAGAGATGCAAACCCTGAACCAGTGCCGCCTCCAAAACTGTGAAAGATAAGGAAACCTTGCAGCCCTGTACACAGATCAGCCTATAACGGGATGAAAAAAAAGGTAGGAGAAAAGAAAATGTTATTAATGACTTTGCAGATGGTAATATTAAAAAAATATATTAATTCTAGATTATTATAATAAAAAATACCAGCATCCTTGAAGATGCATACCTTTTATTCAAAACTGCTAGTGCCTCTTTATACCTGTTATTGAGTATTGTTTCATATTAAAAAGCTGAATTAGTTGTTGATATCATTTTAATGCTACTGTAAGCAAGAGCAACTGTACACCACTGTATTAAACTAGAATATATATAACTGGGTTACAGCTTTGGGAATGTAAACAGACTCTATTTCAGCATGCAGTAAATATTGAAGTACTGAAACCAAGTTTTTTGATGTTTCCTAATTTAACTAGTCAGGCAATCACTTTTTCACTTTGAATCACATGATCTTATGAACCTTTTCCCAGTTAGAATATCCTAGAATAAGTATTTTAAATTGCTAAACATTCAACTAAGTCCTGAGGTTTAAGGTACCGAAAATGTTTTGCAAGATGCATAACAGTATGATTCAACTTGAAAATAACAAAACACTAGTGTGTAATGCCATAATTACACTCATTTAGGGGACTTATAATGTTATGAGATATCCTTAAAATACCTTCAGATAATGATATTTCAGTTATTAAAAGAAATGTTGTTTTTATGGCCTGAGTGGTTATTTAACTCACGGGACAGAGGGGTAGGGCAGGGATATCAAACTAAAAATACTATCTATGCTTAAAAGCAAAGAACAGCCATAACTATAGTAACTATCAGTTATTTTAAATACTGACTTGCAGTGCTAATGCTTACCAGCTTGCGAATGCGATCTAGCACTAGATCAACAATCTCTTTTCCAATGGTATAATGGCCTCTGGCATAATTATTTGCTGCATCTTCCTTCCCAGTAATGAGCTGTTCAGGATGGAATAACTGCCTATATGTGCCTGTACGTACTTCATCTGTGAAGAAAAAAAAAAAATCAAAATAACACAAGGACATAATACGGATCTGTTCAATTCTTTGTGCTGCTAGTAAGCCTACAAGGCAAAATAAAATGTAGACACTAGCCCTGACTATTCCTGCAGCTTGTCTAAACTAGTGTAAATGGTTGGCACAACTTTAGTCCCCTTGTTTGAAGGAAAACAGGTGGTTGCAAAGCAATGTTTGAATCCAGGAATATGGAGGTGGTTCAGGAAACTACATAGACAAGATTCACATACATGCAAGATTCTGAATAGAAATTAAACCAAGCTCTGTATACAACACAACAATTCAGGTATTTTCCACAGGCTGTAAAATAGTTCTTTTTTTTTGCAAGTGTTACCCTTAGAAAGACTGTATTTCATTTCTTTCAAATATAGAAAAAGTAGAGAAAAATAGCACTTTATATGAACGATCTTGTAAGTTTGGTACGTACCAACTACAGTTGGCTCAAGGTCCACAAATACTGCTCTGGGAACATGTTTACCAGCTCCTGTCTCACTGAAGAAAGTGTTAAAGGAATCATCTCCACCTCCAATAGTTTTATCACTCGGCATCTGACCATCAGGCTGGATCCCATGTTCCAGACAATACAATTCCCAACACGCATTGCCAATCTGAACACCAGCCTGACCAACGTGGATAGATATGCATTCACGCTGGAAATTAAAAACAGAACAACAATAACAGGGGGTACACAGATACCTGTCCTCCAGATGCAAATGTCATAACTAGTTTTCTGGGAGTTTTATTACCATAATCCTTCTGTTGCAAGTATTCCCTAACGTTGTTATCATACTGATCATATTGTCTGCTACTCGGAAGACTCCCTTACCTCAATTGACCTGGACAATGGCTTTAGATTTTACAGGCTACCATCTTATGGATGGCATATTCTCTGTTAAGCACATGGCATGAAAACACTATCTTCATCCCTTACCATGCTGGATGCATAGTTTCTTTGATATTCTAGCTACTCTTTCACCTTTCTTTAATTGGAAGACTTCTATATATAGTAGTAACCCAAAATTTCTTCAATTTGTTGCCAGGTCATGTATAGGGTAAACACTGCATGAACCTTCCCTGCATAGGATCTCTTAATATGCTTTAATGACAAACAGAGGTATCTAGAAACTGAGAATCTGTATGGTTTCCTCTACTAACCTATCCCAGTGTCTCAATCAAGTGCTATCTGCCCACTTTTTATCAGCTTTGATAAAGCTAGGCAAGTATGTTGCATACCTTTAATCTGTTCTGAATAAATCCTTTCCCCTCCTTACATCAGAAATTTAAATAACCTTCTAGCTGCTTGTTACCTCGTGTCTAGGGAAAGTGGAAGTGGAAAAGAAAAAGTAGGGTATTTGGACATGTCTTTCCTATCTTGTCTCCTTGATTTCATGTTTTAATTCTCACCATCATGATTTTGTCAGAAGTCTTTAGACAGTGAAATTAACCACCCTCATTTCCACGTCTATCCAGGCTGCCCCAAGTTTCCATGGCTTTCTTGCCACCTCACCATTTCCAGCTTCCCGCAACCTGCCGGCACACGACTTCCAGAGCCTGAGGAAGAAGCGCCAGATCTCAAGCACCGATCCCGCCCCTTCGGCAGCGCGCCGCTCGCCAACACACGGCGCCACGGTATTGGCTGCCGCTCGGACTCCTCTCCTCTGATTGGCTGCGCACAGCACTCGAAAGATTCGGAAGCCATGACAACCAAACCGACAGCGCAATGGTTGGTTCATCCGATTTTGTGTCCTCTCGCTACCACTCGAGTGTTTTATCCTGCTCCTTACCTTCCCTTTATTTAGTGCAGCCAGCACACTATTAACAGCACTTCGTTGTTTTTGTATGCACTCTTATTCCACTAGCTACCCACCCGTTTCCACACCTAACTTCTCCTGAACTATTTTACACAAGTTTCTCTCCTCCCCAATCTTTCCGCCTTACTGCTGATGCTAAAGCTCCTCACAAGTGCTGCCTGCAAGTCCTGTTCCAATACAAGCAATCCTGAACTCCCCAGACCTGTTGCAAAAGATGCAGCCCCCGAATTCCCTTCTCTCCCCGGTCGCGAGGATCCCATTCCCCACCATGTTGCCTTGCTGGGGTGAGGAGTTTCCGCTGTGTCAGACCACGTCCGCCTCTCTGCGCCGAACAGCACCAACTGTCAACGGCCGCCCGCCTCGCGCCTCACGCCCGCGCGCCCTGCCTTCCCATTGGCTGGTTCCAGTACGCGCGGAGGCGAACGGAGGCCTCTGATTAGCTGAGCGCCGCCGTCTTTCTATGTGGGGTGCTGTTTGTCACACCCTCGCGCGCAGGCGTGTGAGCTGCGACTGCTACCGCGGTGCTGCTCGGGCGCCCTTGGGCGGGAAAGCGCCCGCCTCCGCCTCGGCCTGGGGCTGGCG